CGCTCCCTTGAAACTTCTGCAGTAACCATGCAGCTCACTGCTGCCTGTGGTGCTTGTAAGCACCTGGACAGCCATCCAGCTGAAGGCTGCTTGGAAACCGGAGCTACCCGAGAGAGCGAGCTCTTCCCTTCCGAGGATGGTTCATTCCATGGTGTAGCAGATGTTTGTCAGATTTGGAATGAGGCTCAGCGCTCAATACTGGAGGACACAGTGTGAGCATTCCAAGCGAGCAGGCGTCGGGACTTTGGAATTACTTGTGACATCTGAAGAGCGGGATTTCTTTCCAATGGACAAGCCACTCATGAAGTCACCCTGCATTAAAGATGCTTCTTTGAAGGAGTTTGATAAATTCCGCACTTGGAAGAGGAATTCTGGAATCAGAGGTCAATGGAGAAGACCAGTGATGACAAGACACTAAGGACATACTGGCCCTGCAAGGTATAGTTATCTTGATTTTGTTGTCCTCTGCTCTGTTTCTCATTGTGGGTAGAGGGGTGGCAGAAATCAGGCAGTCAGTCAGAGATAGTTCTGAAAGCTTCATGCTGAAACTTGTAACTGTCTGGTGGGTGTTAACTCTTTTGACCTCAGCTCTTCATGAGATCACCACCTGTTTCTTATCTCCTCTTGGGCTGTTGAACTCTGTGGTCCAGAAACACAGTCTTCTGCTGCTTACTACTGTTGTTTCTGTAAAGGTAAAAGTAAAGAATCTGCCCACATTGTCACTAACCTTACTGAAGAGACAAATACTTGAGTTACAAAAAAACTAAATGGGAAATGAAAAATGTTAAATTATTGTCTTAGTGGCTTCTTCATTAATGCAGAAACCAAATTATGTATTTTCCTAACTTATATGGGTACAAATAGTTTTAGCTAGGGCATTTTGCACTGATAAAGACCCTATAAGGTAGTGAACCTGTGGCAGGTAAAGCCATGAACATCACAGTGCTTTGACAGTCATCTCTGGTCGTTCATGAGACAGGTGCAGCACTGCAGTGTTGCAGTCGCTGACCCCTTGTGTTGTTCACCAAAGCCCTGAGCTCTGGCTGCAGGTCAGTGTGTGAGGTTGAGGGGGTGGCAGTGTATGCCAGGGAGGTCAAAGGGCACAACTGTCCTGCAGGGAAACTGGTGCCTTGTGACTTTGACTGCTGAATTGCCAGAGCCTGCTGTCCCAGTAGGAGTCAGGTTATCTGGAGCTCACGTACATCTGTTTGTTACCGGAGGAGAACCTTTCCTTTGCTTCTCCCCTTAGC